ACGAGCCAATGCACATTGGCATGCAATTATTGCATCCAGCTGCCGCTGATCACAGCGTGAGTATAATAAGACAGCAGGTGCAATGCATACCAGCTTTTCGCTTGGGAGCCGAGCGACAACATCGTTCTGTTCTATGTTTATTTCGAGAACTACGAGTTCAGCACGCTCTCGGAAGCTTTCTGTGTTGGCGGGACGGCGCTTCAGCGGTGGTCGTTCCAGTGTCGAGTGGGTTGCGCACTTCAGGCTGCACTACCCCCTGTCGTGTTGTAAGAGGCAATCGTATGGTAACCCTCGTTCCCTGAAGGAGGGGACGGAGACGTCACGTCCCGTCGCCACGGTTGCTGTACCACCGCTGAGCGGCCGGGTCGCACTTGCATTGCACCTGCTGCCTTATACTCACGCTGTGATCAGCGGCAGCTGGATGCAATAATTGCATGCCAATGTGCATTGGCTCGTTTAGTTTACACTCGAAGTAGATTGGTCTATCGAAGCGATATCCCAATTCCCGTTCCCTCCTTCAGGGAACGAGGGTTACCATACGTAACCGAGACGTTTCTGAAAAACACGCAGCTTTTCACTTCACAAGATGTTAACTGATGGACTGGAGTGGTGTGGATTACTTGTGATGTTTTTATCAGCTGTTTGGACTCTCATTCTGACGGCACCCATTCACTGCAGAGCATCCATTGGTGAGCAAGTGACATAATGCTACATTTCTCTGTTCAAATCTGATGAAGAAACAAACTCATCTACATCTTGGATGGCCTGAGGGTGAGCAGATGTTCATGTTTAGGTGAACTATTCCTTCCAGCAGTATGAACTGAAGGCCCTGCGCTGTACTTACGGCTTGGGCTGCTCCTCACTGGGGGACTTTGACTGGGGCTGAAGGACATTACTAACCAGCTCAGTGATTCCACTGAAAGGATTCCACCTGTTCAGACAAGCACAGCAACATCAAGTGGCAAAAACCGAGGGGTGTGTTTCTGTCTGTTCCTCTAACACTTCCAATTTGGTGGGACGACACCAAGAAATCCCTAAACATTTTGTTGAACTGTGCTGTAATGCTTGATTGCGACTGGTAATCACCGTATATGTCGAATCTTATCAGTTTCTTTGTATGTATGCATGTATGAAATTTATTTAGCAAAGATGCATTAATCGATCTAAAGTGTCAGCAGAAAAAATGTCATGGTTTAAAAAAAAAAATTTGCTTTAACATTGAAAGTTAAATATATACGGCAATAAAACTGCATTTATATTATTATTATTGTTGTTGTTGTTGTTGTTTTTATAATGTACTTGAGAACAAATGTATTTTTGTTGTAAAGACATTAAAACTTTTAGAGGATTTTTTTTTTTTTAATAAATTACTGGTAACAAAAGGTATATTCTTAAAACAAGAAAAACAATTTAAGCATTTTTTTTTTACAAATTAAAATATATTTGTTTAAGATATAGTCTCTTAAAACATATGTATGAAATTTTATTTAGCAAGGATTCATTAATTGACCAAAAGTTTAAGCTGAAAAAATTTCATGGTTTCCACAAAAATAACTTTCACATTAAAAATCATTTTACAAATTAAAATGTAATACATTAAACCTTTGTTTGTTTGTTTGTTTGTTTGTTTTACAAATAAATTACTGGTAATAAAAGGTATATTCTTAAAACAAGAAAAACTATTTAAACTTTTTTTTTTCAAATTAAATTATATTTTGTTAAAGATATAGTCTCTTAAAACAAGTCTAATGCCACTTAAGTAAACTGATCTTGTTTGAAGGATGCTCACATAGTTTAACTGGTAATGCATTAGAATTGACTAAAAAGAGATGAGTGATGAGAGAAACAGCAGCTTTAGGACTGAGGGAGGAGAAAGCAGCTGAATCACAAGAGGACAGTAGTGCTGTATTACTGGAGCACTGTGGAGGAGCAGCTGACCAACTACATCACTACAGCAACACAGATGTGCTACTGAACGGATAAAACGGTTAGTAGGGTGAGAAAACAGGAACAGTTTCAGTATTAAGAAAACTAGAGGTGATGCTGTACAAGTGTACCAACTACAGGACATCATAGAGCCAAACAACTGATCACGGGGCAGCTCTGAGGGATGTGTCACAGACAGCGAAGGGTGGAAAAGGAAGGTGAACGCTGGAAGAGTTGTCTTGTACTCACTGAGCTGACTGAGGCTTTGTGTCTTCTTTAGGAGGTTCCCTAAAAAGACATGTTCAACAGCTCAGCACACACACAGGGCAAAACAACAGACTAAATCAAACACTGACGAAGCAGAAACAAATGAAATAAATAAATTAGGGCTGCCAAATTAGCGTGCCAACTTATTTATTATTATTATTATTATAAATAGCAATACATTTCATGCATTAAATGCCATTTTATTTTAGCTAGTGCTGGGCAACGATTAATCGCATCCAAAATAAAAGTTTTTGTTTATATAATATATGTGTATATTTATTATGTGTATATAAATACACACACATGCATGTATATATTTCAGAAAGATATGTTTATATATTTATATATAAATTATATGAATATAAATACATACATGCAAATACATGTCAATATTTTCAAAATATATGCTGTATGTGTGTGTCTTTATATATACATAATAAATATACACTGTATACACACATATATTATGTAAACAAAAACATTTATTTTGGATGCGATTAATCGCGATTAATCGTTGCCCAGCACTAATTTTAGCATAATTTAGTAGACGTTTAAGAATGATGAATTTGCAAAGATTCATGTAAATTTGCTAATTTATTCATCAGAGTTTATGTAAATATATCCTAGAAATGGATGGTCTTCACCATTTTAATACATTTTAATAATCATTTTTATTCTCCTGCTTTTATTGTTCTTCTTATTTCTTGTGCATCTGTTGTGATTATTTTATGATGATTTTAAATCATTTTTATGTAAAACATTTACATTGTGTATGAAATGTGCTTTCGTGTTGCCTATATTTTGATACAAAATTAACCAAATTCAGCATTTGAGAAGCAACTTCAGAAAATTATAAGATCAATAAAGCTCTATCTAATGGCAGCCCCAATACATAGGCAGATGATTATATAAATAAACATAGATCATGAGTGTTACAAAAAAATATGAAAAAAAAAACACATGAATCTAAAAATCACATAATGAAACACATTAACATAAAGAGAATAAACCATATATAAATGTTTTGCCTTATATGTGATTTTTGGTGTTGTATGCAATGTGCTCTAATATTAATCTTTAATCTAAAGACCTTCTGTGTAACATCCCATAATCCCGTCATAATTAGCCAATTAACACATTGTTCATCTGAGAACTATTATATCACAGCATGATTTTGAGATGCACAGATCTTCACATCCACAATGCTCAGCATACAGTTGAACACAACCATACTGTTCTCACTATTTCTGCAGCATACAGTATACATACTGTACTCAACATTATGCTCATTTTCTGTATGCATGCAGTCGCCATAATGTATGACACAACCAGGATGCACTGCATGAAACACACTATATCCCACAATGCAATGTGCTTAATGTGGCCTACCACATGTTTAATGAATAAACTGGGTATTTCTTTTTCATGGCTATAAAAATGTGTGTAATTTTAACACTAAAGACTGTAAAAATGCAATGTAAAAATCTGTTAATTGGTTAACCGTAAGTTTGAAGAACGAATGAATCTAACGGGACATTTCATCAACTTTTACAGTAAATACTGTGTTTGAAAGTGATATTCATCTCATAATTTACAGTTAAAAACATAAATTGACATTCCCAGAATTCTCTGTGTCATTTATGGATTCATTTAAATTATTGTTTTTTAGTTTCGTTATCAGTTATGTACATTAAAATGTCATGTTTTTGTGTTTGTGTGTATGACATTATGTGCACCTAGAGTTTACTTCAGCTTGTGATAAACTCATCGCGTGACTTTCTCATACCATTTATAGTGATTGTCAGTATATTATAAAGGTACAACCATTTTTAGTAGGTTGGAAAATTAACTTTATATCAGTTAATGAAATATACATTATTTCCTGTAAATTTAAGTTCAGTTTGTAAAACCTAAAATGTTGCTATACCATTTTTTTTTTTTTTACAGCAAAGCAACCACAGCTGACATTTTTCCACCATACATTTCACAGAATTTTTATTTTTATTTTTTTTGTATTGTTATTATAATTTTTTCTGACTTGCACATAACTGGATTAAAGTAATAAAAAAAAAAAAAAACTTTTTTAGTTTTTGAAACTATATCTGGACTCTAATGTAGAATGGTACCATTTGAAATCTTTGCATATTTAATAATAGTATTTAATATATATTTAAACGTAAACGGTGTACAAGGCTATAAAATAATTGGGGAAAAAATGCAATTACTGTACTGTTGTTGTATACACTAGTCTGATTGAAAAGTAGTATACTTATACAGCAACTTTGTAAGGCAGAGCCAATGAGCATGGGTTACTATAAGTGTCAATCCTGTTACACAACGTCTTCACACAACAGACCTGACATAAACTCATTACTTGAGACTGAGATCTCATAAAAGCTCATACACAGCATGCTCAGCAAGTGTTTACAGCATCACATGGGGAAAAAAAATAAATTCCTGCACTGTCATATGGAAATAGTTTATAGTCAAAGAGCAGTCCAGTGGAAACCCCAGTGTAAACACTGTGTACTTTGAACACGTAAAGAGATTACTAGCTGTGGTCAGCCAATCAGCAGCGGCGCTCCTAAATGCCCGACACTGAGTCCTAATGCAGCTTAGACGCAGAGATCAAGTGCACTTACACCACTGTAGCATCATTCATACTGTAGCACTACTCTTCTGCAGTATGCACTATTTATATGTGTACAGTATGTGCGCTCTGCATGCAGGGAATACCAGCATGATGCAGCATACAGTACAGTTTTACAAACTAGCATGCAGTATATATACTGCACAGTGTGCAGCAAGCAGTGCATGAGTGTTGCATTTAGGGTCTATAAACATCGTCTGTCCTCGTTTATGAAAACTACATCAGCTGTGTTCAGCTCATTCAGATGCTATGGACAGGTTGAGAGTGTGTTGTGAGAGTGATACAGACATCCATTGGCATGACTTTTAATATAAAGCCAGTCTGGATGCAGTGCAATATGAATGGTTCTCCAAAATGTCCAGTTATTAAGGTTACACTTTATTTCGATGGTCCAGTTTACTATAAGCAACTTTGCAATTACTTGTCAACTAATTGTCGAGGGTTAGTGGAATAAGTTGACATGTACTTGAATTAAGCACAGTTTGATGTTGTAATGTATTTTGTACAGAGGATATCAACTAGGGCAAATTCCAAACCTGAAAACGCCAATATTTGTTCAGTTAATATTTGTTCAGAACTCAAGGGGAAAACAAAACACATCTACTCTATTCACATTTAGTGCAATGGAGTGCTACTACAGGAATGATGCACTTTTGTAGGCTAAAACCCCAAAATTAGTTGCATTTCATCACTTTCGGTTCCATCGTCCTAAGGCTCTTTTTCCTATTTTTTGAATGGGTTTTTGGTTTAATGCTTGAAATAAGGTCTGTGTCTAACACTAAGCTCAAGATATTTTCACATTTTATTCTACATCATAAAATAGCAATACACGCCCTTGTGATTTTGAAAAAAGGCATTTGCTAACAAGTGTGTAAATGGGAATCATCACACCTAGTCACTTTCACAGCCTCTTACAAACTATTCTAACTCAAAATGGTTTTAAATAAAGATTAACAGAATTGTCGGAAGCTTAATGGTGGTGATCCTGAAGTCATGTGACTATAGTTCATTTATAGCCTATGTTTAGCTTTTTACTTCTGCCGATTGTCTTTAAGCTTCAAAATCTATAAAAGCTGGTCAGACACAAATGTTTGAATGGAGTGTGAATGGAATATGCCTCATGTGGCTTTACTCTGATAAAGGGACCATTTAAAGCAACAGTGTATCTGACTAGGCAGCCAATCACAGAGCAGCTGAGCGACTAATGACATCACTAAACAAGAGGCACAACCTTCCCTAATTCTTAAATGCTGTACTCACTCAGAGTGTGCTGTGTGGAGGAAAACCCACAGGGTTATCTCTATTATCTCTCTATCTACATTATGGCATGCAGTCCAATCAAACCCCATCTCAGAAGCCAATCCAGACTCAATCCAGGCTCATAATAGATACAGCAATATGTTTTTAGACAGACTAGTTTATTTGTCATTTAGTAGACGTGTTTTTCCAAAGCGTATACGGTGTGACTGTCCCGCTGGAGCATGCTGGGGTGAAGTGTCTGACCCAAGGGCACAGACGTTTCCCAGTAATTCATTTCATAAGTGACTCTACCTGACACCAAACCAGCAACAGTTACATTACCAGACCAGAGCCTGTGTGTGAGACTTCAGTTATCAAAACAGACACACAGAGACGAAGATACCAACTCCAGCATGTTGCAGTGGGTCTGCACTTGCTTGATTAATACTTAACCAGCACATGACTGACTTAGCAAAAACTCTTTAATCTTCATAAGAAGCCTCATTTTTCCAAAGATCATCACTCTCAGAGCACTTAACACTCAGGAGAGTGTGAGAGCACAAGATATGAACGTATCTGCTAGAAAGCACCGTGTCGCCTCAGATGGCCGTTTGTGTGCTGCTCTGCCAAAAAGCATTTCAGCATCAGCCGCTGATTTCAGCGATGTGCAAAACTACATTCAAAAACAGCTACGAAGCACAGCTGAATCCCACAGATGGCAGGAGTCTCAAGACAAGTTTTAAAAAGCTTGTGTAAATTAAATTTACACATGCAATGGCTAAAGATGTTACTCTGAATGTATACAAGATGTTTTTTGTCTAAAAATAGTTCAACTTTAATGGGTTAGGTGTCTTCTTGTTCAAATCGAGCTTTAAAGTATGGTAGTTTTATAGTGTTTGGATATAAAGTTTATGAAGAGTTCATTTGCAAAAACAGATAACTCAGTTTTTAACCATTTTCAATAATCGTGTTTTTTCATTGTGCATTCCAATTAATCTCAAACTAACTGCAGTTGGGTTATTTTGATTAGGTTAAAAAATAACAAAAAAATACAGCTAACTAACAAAATAAAACACAATTAAAAACATGATGACATAATAAAAAACATGATTCGTGACCCAGGACCACAAAA